GGGAGGACAGAGTGCCAGGAAATGACATGGGTATAAGTGCTTGTGAAATACACCTTCCCCACTCCTCAAGCCCTACCTCATGGCTTATTACTCATTCCTCCAGCTCTGTACAGTTCGTCCAAATTGGCATTTTCAACCACAGACATTAACGGAGCACCTATTATGTGCTAGACCCTGGGGGTATAAATATGAGTGAGGTTTAATCTAGTGCAAAGTTCCTTATGTGGGAGTTTTTCAAACTATAACTGCCTTGGTGAATCTCTGATACAGTCATGCTTTGCTTAACGAGGGGATACGTTCTGAGAAATGTGTTGTTAGGTGATTTCATTGTTATGTGAACATCACGGAGTGTACTTACACAATCCTAGATGGAATAGCCTCTACACACCTAGACTATATGGTACTAATCTTATGGGACCACTGTCATGTATGTGGTTCGTTGTTGACCAGTGCATGACTGTATTTCTGGTTCAGTAGGATTGGGCTAGAGCCCATAGATCTGCCCTATTCCAGAACTGCTGATGCCCAGTCCTAGTGAAGAACCCCTGGTTCATGGTGTAGTCACTGCCTCTTTCCTCCCACCTCCCATTTCCCTCTAGTTCCTTGGCCTCTCAGTTGGCTCTACTTCAAACCCGATGGATGGGATGGATGGTTGGGATGCAGAAGATACCTGTCCACTCTTGGGACAGAAGGTGGACACATCAGCATAAGTTACAGGAGGGTAGATTTTGATTCAAAATAAGGATAGGATGAAACTCTTTAGCATTATAAGGATTGGCCAACAGTGGGGAAGTCTGTCTTGTGAAGTAATGAGTTTTCCATTGCAGGGAGGATTCAATGGCACCTCTCTGAGATGCTGCAGGGAGAGCCCTTCCCCGGGTGGGCTTCAACTGCCACTGCTCCTCTCTGGTTAGGGGAAGAGGAAGTTCCTCTAGTTCTTTTCTTCTTTTCAAACCCTGTTCCTATCCTATGTCATCCTTCCTTCTCTTTTCTATCCCATTTCATCTTCTGAATTCTTAATAGCTCATGCCATGTCTGTCGAAGATGCTCATACCACTCAGGGTCCACCTGCCGAACTTGGGCAATGCTGGTAACAAGCGATTTGTCTGGAGTTTGCTGACCATACAGACATCGAGCCCATCCTGCTGAATTTTTCTATGAAGTCAGTCCTCCTCCCAATAAGCGCGTCAGTTCCGTGTGGATGTGTGTGTGTGTGATGCCTGTGCTTGCACATGAGGGTGTATTGTAACTGGAGTTGCAGCTCAGAGTAACAGAAAAGCAGTTTGCTTGGTGGGGTATGTGATGGAGGGGTAGCTGCGACCTTGGTTCCCAGGGAGGACTGGTCCCACCTCTTGTCTCTCGCCTCCCTCTCCCTCTCCTCCATACCCCCCGGCCCCAGGCTCACTCCTTCAGCTTAATTTCGCCAGCTGCAGCTCTGATTCCCTCCTCCTCCTCCCTCCTCCTCCTCCCTCCTCCTCCTCCCTCCTCGCCCTCCCTCCTCCATCTACCACACACACGGGCTTTGAGTTATGTACCTCCTGTTCTAATGAGATAAACAACATAACTCTCACGGGGCTCTGCTCATCCCTCTATAAGTGGAACTCCAGGGCTCACTGCGTTGGCCCTATAAAGGCACCCTGGTGCCTGTCAGCCTAGGGAGGAGGGCGAGGAAGCAGGGGCGGGAGCCCTGAGAGTCTGAGAGTGTCCTTGGGGCCGTTTGCTTGTTGAGACGAGGTGGAGTCAAAGCAGACATCAAAGGGAGGCCTGTTTCCATTCTTGTGGCTAAAGGAGCAAAGAGCAGCATGGACATGTGGGGTGGGGGCCTTGTCACACCGTGTGGGCAGAGAATCCAGACTCGCCTAAGTCAGCTAACTCACAGTAATTAATAACTGACATTCGTACAAGGCTTCATGGTTATAAAGAATATAAGCTAATCCCCACGACAGCCCCTATAAGGTAGGTATTATTAACACCCTTATCTCACAGGTGAAGGAGACAGACTCTGAAAGGTGTGATATTTCCAAGGTGACAGAAATGTTGGTGTGAATCTCGTGTGTCCTTCCTCTGCTCCGTGGAACTTCTCCGGTCCATCAGTCCCCTCTTCAGACTACTTACTAAAATTGATTCTCCCAGGACAGCAGGCCTACAGCTACCAGCTGATCGGCCCAGGGCTACCTTGGTGCTGCTGACCAACAAGGGCAGCGACCACAGTCTCGGGGAGGGCACAGGACTTGGGCAAGAGTGGACAACTTTGGCCTCTTGTACTTGGACCTTTTCAGAATTCCTGGACCAGTTCCTTCATACTCACCTGCTTTTGGTGAGGCTGGAAATACCATGAAGCAGCCTGTGGGGCAAGAAGATGACAAAGGCACAGAAACTGCCATGCTGGGGTGGGTTATGGGCGCAGTCTGAGCCCACCTTTTGGGGTTCTTCTTGGATAGTTTGGATGCAGGTGGATGAGTCTCAGCAGGGCCAAAAGTCATTCACTCCCTGCATTGATAAGTGTATCTCAATGTGCCTGCCAAGCACTGTGCTAAGCATCAGGGATACTTGAGATGAACGTGATTCCTGCCATCCTAGATCTTATAAAATGAGTAGGGGAGACAGTGCAATAAGCAGACATTAATGACAACACTTTGGGGAAATTGAGGGAATCTTGGGAGCTTATAGAAAAAGCCATTAAACCAGTCTTGTTAGATCAGAGGACCATCCAGGCAGTAACTAGAAGATGCTTAGACATCCAGAGATTCTCTGTCAGATACTGCAACAATCTATAAAGTTCTTAAAAAAATAGCTGCTCAATTCCCTCATGCACCTACCTTCCGACTGGGCAGGTATGGCATGGATTTTGGGCATCGGTGTTCCCCAGGTGATTTTTGGCTTCAGCCTGGATTAAGAATCAGTAACCCAAGATGAGCGGGGGTTAGGCAAGACCACTTCTGGGACATGGAGCAGCAGGTCAGCCCTTGTACTTGGCCTTTTATGAGATCCTGGGGAATTCCAGCTCCAGAGGTGGCCAAACATCTGGAAGGGACCCAGACTCAGTGTACCCATTCAGGGATTATGGGTCAGATATGACACAGTCCTAAAGTGAACCACACCAGAAGCCTTGAACTATTCCTGGAGGTACCTTCGCTCAAAGAGAGGTCAAGACTGGGCCTCGCATGGCAGGGAGAGCAATCTTACTTCTTTTTGATTTATTTGGTTTTCTATAAATCAGCCACAGCTGTGGTCCTCAGAACCCAGGGAGCTCCGAGCTTCAGGACCCTCCTACTGTGCAGAAGCCCGTGAAGTTATCCACAAAATCAACTATTAGGATGACTCTTGGACACGATGAGCCCTTAGCTCATAATAGCAGAGATTTTTCTCGAGCCTATAGGCTCCATCACCCTTAATAGTTTCTAAGAATTGAAAGGGGAAGGGTTAAAACCTCCACCTTGTTCATACCCTTGCAACCTGTGGGAGCAGCTGTGTGAATAAAAACGAAACTTAGCACATAAAAAGAATTAGAAAATTTTGGTTCCTTTAATGCTGGAATAATTGCCTCTGCTTTGGACCCAAACCAATAAATCGCTAGAGAAGATTAGTACAAATGAAAAATGAACGAATGGATAGATAGTGATGAAACTTTTGTAGATTTTCTCTGAAAAGGGCAAAAATGAAACCAGTTCTCCCCCTAACTTTTAAAGGCCCTGAAATGGAAGGCAGCAGATGGGAGGGAACATGGTCCTGATGGTTTCTGAACCCCGTGGTCCTTCGTCTAGGAAGGGCCCCTCTCACAGGAGACTACCTGTGTCTAACATTTGTCACGTGCCATGTTTATCCGCAGAAGACTGAGTTGTGACTTCAGTTGAAGTGAAGCTGGAACATATTCATTCATTCATTCATTCAGCGAATGTTCCATTTGATTCTGTGTGACAGACGCATTTCTGGTTCTGAGGATTCTGAGGGGAAGAAGACAAGGTCCCTGTCCTCGCCAGGTTTTCACTCGAGCAGGGGTGGGTTGGTTGGCTTGCTGGTTGATTGTGGGGTACAGCAGGCAGGCGTTTTTGTCTGCAAATCACCCAACCAGTCATAAGCGCTCGTCCTCTCGCCTCTGCCTCCACCCTCTGCCCTTTTCTCTAGCTATGGACCATGGGCTAGTGTGGGGAGTCCACATTCCTCCAAGGCCTCTGGCTGCCATACTCTGTGCCATAGGAGCCACAAGAGTGTTGTCTGATGAGCAAAAAGGCTCCTCAAGGTGCTGATGTGGAGCTTTGGTGTCAAAGGCCAAATCTAAATGGAGACTCTTGCTGGGAGACAGTGTGGTACAGAAGCCTAGCCCCTGGACTCCTGCCCATTTATTTCTGTAAGGCTCAGGCAGGTGGACAGGATGCGCAGGTAGGTGGGCTATTCAGGCCTGGAGCCGGGTCACCAGAGCAGGCTTACGTTCTGATGGAGGTTGCCCAGCGCTCCCTTCAGCTTCAGTGAGCTGCCAGCCGCTAACAGTGGGTAGAAGAAGCCAGTTGGTAGGAGATCTGGCTCCTGGAACCTGTTTCCTTAAAATGTTTCCCAATCCAGGCTGTCCACAGGTAGGCAGACTGACTCTGCTGTCCCACCTTGAAGGGAACCTGCTAGACCTGGACATGGGCAGTAGCTGGAGATCCATTGCCTTGGAAACACTATGGCGAGGTTGAACTGGAAAGGTCCCTCTTGTGGTCTGAAGGTACCTCTGTCCTCCCCAGGCCAGAAGAGCAGAAGTGGTTTTGGTAACGGTGATGGCTCTTTTTGGCATGGGCTTGCTGAGACAGCATGGTGGAGCACTCAGAGCAAGGGTCGTGGGGTCAGATGACCTAGATTCTGCCTCGGTTCTACTGTCTATTAGCTGTGTGACCTTGACAAGTCACTTCACCTCTCTGGCCTTCAGTTTCCTCTCGTTGCAAGTGAGAGGGTTAGGCAGGGTGGCTTCCTAGGTCCCTTCCAGCCTAGAGACTTTAACCTTTGCCTGTCTCTGTCCACAGGCCTCGCCCCGGGCCAGCTGTACACATATCCTGCCCGCTGCTGGCGTAAGAAGAGACGATTGCACCCGCCTGAGGATCCAAAGCTGCGGCTGCTGGAAATAAAACCTGGTCAGTGCCCTCTGGAGCTTGGCTGGGCCCGTGATGGGAGAGGTGGGGAGTGCTGGGCTCGCCCGGGACAAACATGCTTTGCTCCTTTTTCCGAAGGGCTGAGTTTTCCAGGAGAGTGAACGAGCCCAGTGGTGCTCAGAGGTGGGCCTGCTCTCACGTGTCAACATGTCCATGCATCCCCCTGAGATTCTCTCCCCTCTGGGTGTCTCGTGTCTTCCCCGTCTTTTTGTCTCCCTCTTGCCACCCCAGAGGAGCAAAGCAAGCAGGCGCAGGATGGAAACAGGCCCAGGATGAATTACTTTCCCAAAAGAGCTGGAGGAGCCACAGCTCTTTTGGGTCGGGAGATACCTTCCTGTGGCTTCAAGTAAAGAAAGCTTGTCCCAGGTTGTGTGTTTCTAAGGAGAGCGCACCGTGTGCCCTCACCCCTTACTGTGAATGAACTTCTGGAGCGTCTTACACGAAAAGGGCCAGTCACTTAAGATAGAATCCATCTTGGATATGGAAATGGAAGAATTTGGGGTGAGAATTTGCTGCTAGGTGATGCTAATTGCTTTGTGGCCATGCAGAAAGAATTGCTTGGTTTTCTTGACTACTGATGTGTTACTATACTTCTGAGTAGCTGGCCACCTTCAGACCTGTGTCTGGGTTGCAGCAAGGCCCTGGGTCCTTAGCTTTAAGGGAACCTCTGTTTTTGGGGGGCGCTGGGGCTGGGATGTGACTCAGGGTGGTGGCAACATTGCTGTCAATTGGAGCTAATGCAGAGCTGACATGCTCCCTCCCACTGTCGTCAAAGGAGTGCAGACCCGGCCTCATTCCTGCCTTTCCACACTGACCCCTTTGGCTGCGTTTTCTCTGCAAAGTCTCTACTTACAGCTGTTCAGGATGCTTTCACTCCGGGTTCATGGTTAAGCCTGATTCAATATTTTGCGTTCACCCCGATTTCACTTATGTAGAGGTTTTATTTGTTAGGGGTGGGAGGCGGCTAGATTCTTCAGTGTGCTCCATCCAAGCTCCAAATGGCCTTGCACAATTTACAGACCCTTGCAGACACTCCTGGGTCATTACTGGGGTTGTTCCAAACTCCCCAAGATGCAGGTTGTAGGAAAGCCAAGGCTCCCAGAGCGGCAGGATCCAGTAGAAATGGAATGTAAGCCACGGGTGGCATTTTACATTTTCTAGTAGCCACGTGAAAAAAAGGAACAAGAAACAGATGAAATTAATTTTTATAATAGTCTATTTAATCCAAAATATCAAAAATATTATCATTTCAGCACATGGTCAATATAAAATTATGAATGAAACATTTTACTTGTTTTTGGTATTGTTTTTGGATTCCAGGGTGCATTTTACACTTTCAGCATATCTCGTTGCTGACTAGCCACATTTCAAGTGCTCAGTTGTCACCTGTGACTAGTGGTGTCCATACTGCTTAGTGTGGTCTGGACCAGCAGCACAGGCCTTACCTGGGAGCTTGGTAGAGATGCAGAATCTTGGGTCTTAACCTGAATCTGCTGAGTCAGAATCTGCGTTCATCAGATCCCCAGGGCCACATCCCCAGAATGCACATTGAAGTTTAGGAAACACTGGTCTTGAAAACTTACAGGTCGCCAGACCACAAGTCGGCATGGCGTGAGTCCCCATCATCTCTATTAAACATATATGTCAATAGAAACAATTTACTTTGGAGGCAAGGGCTCCCTCCTTCCTTGTTCCAGATCCATTGGTCCTGGTCTCTTGGAAGAGGCTTGGATGGATGATGAGGTAACCCCTTGTTTGATCCTTAACTGGACCAATTTAATTCTGCCCCATTCAAAGCTTTACAGTAAGTACTGTAGCAAGAGGGTAAGCACATGCCAGGTGGCTGTGTGGACTTTGAGGGAGGGTCCTATTCAGGTGTCTATCACTAGTTGGACGTGTCTCCATGTTTGAGTACGTGAACCCTCTGGGTGTACTTCTCTCTCTGTAAATAGGCCAGTGGGGCTTGGGATTCCTCACTAGCCTTACAGGGTCATCACAAGGATCAAATGAGCCATGTGTAATAGTATTTGCCCTTTCTTATCCTTTTAATTAAATTTTTTTTAATTTATTTGAGTAGGTAATACAGTCACATATTTTGACCTTCCAAAGATAAATATAGTGAAAAATAAGACCCAGTCTCCAAAGAGGCAATCAATGGTACCAGTTTTTTGAGATTCTTCAAGATAGCTTATGCACACACAAGGAATTACATCTCTGTGACCCTCCCCTCCTCTTCTTACACAGCACAACCCCCTTAATTGTTGCCCTTCCCATTTAAAAATGTGTCTCAGGCATTGGCCATGTCAATATACAGTTTCCTCAGTCCTTTTTTACAATTACACAATATTCTGTTGTATGAATGCACCACAACTGATTGAACCAGGCTGTTCCCAATTGTTGTTTCTAATTTTTCCAATTTGGCTAGTGATGCAATGATTATTTTGTGTGTATATTAGGACACCGCATATGTAACTTGTTAATTTTAAGGCTTTTATTATAAATACTTGACGCTTATTTTAAATTGTTAGTCTTTAATTTTTTAAAGTCTTTATTCTTAACATTTGTATAAAATGTCTTTAAGAAGGACACTTTATATCAGACTAATTGGATTGTCTCTTATAGAATCAAAGACATTTAGTGCTTTAAAATACCTCAGACATCATTAACTCCCATTCTTTGTTTTCTTGAAGTCCAGACAGGTTAGGAGACTTGCTCAAAGTCACACAGCAATTCCTGTGGGAAACAGCAGAGAGTCTAGTTGTTTGATTTCTGTTCAGTGCTTTTTCTGCTTCTTCATGCTGCCAATAGACATACTAACTTAAAGAAATTTTAACAAGACTTTTTCCCTTAAAAACTTTACTTTATGAGTATAAAACTAACATACATTAATTCTTAAAATGCACCCAAGAGATAGTTGGAATTCCTTCAGTCATAAATGTCAGATACTCAAATCAAACGAGTCTAAGCAAAAGGGGAAGTTTGTTCACATAGCAGTGAATTTGTGTTTACCTGGTTTCAGGCATAGCTGCATCCATGGGCTCCCACATTGTAGTGAGGCTCTGTCGTCTCTGCTCCTCTCTTGAGGCAGCCACCAGCAGCCCCAGACTCAGCACTCACCACACCCAGCAGAAAGGCAGTCCCCTTCAATAGCTGTGGCAGAGAAGTCCCTGGAAGGACTGTTAGCTGACTGGGTTTAGGTCTGCCCCGCCAATCACTTACACCCAGGGGATGGGGCACTGATTGAATAATAGTCATCATCATCATAACTGGTGTCTGAACAGCACACTGTAGCTTACAAAGCCCTTTATAAAGCATTTTCATTTGTGTTACTGCCTTTGGTCCCTCCCATAGCCCCGGGACGCAGAGCAGGAAGGGAGGGTGAAACTGTTATATGCCCATTTTATAGGTCAGGGAAGTCAGGCTGTAGGCAAAGCCAAGGAGAGTTTACTGCGCTGCTCACACATCTGAGAACTGACAGCCTCACTGATGGTGGGAGTGAGGCAAGAAGCTCCTTGTGAGTGTCTGGTCCTTCTGTCTACAGACATTTACTTTGGCCACTGGCCTCTCAGTAGCTGAATGTGGAGCATCTGGAGTCACAGCTGTCTTTGATTTGCCCCATCCTTGGGCCTGCCGTGGCTTACAGGGAGGGGAAAGGAGGAACCCTAGGACTGGTGGTTTGCTGTAGCCAAGTGCCCACCAGCACATGGCGTCTGTGTCTGTGATCATTTGAAAGGTTCCCTTGGGCTCTGCCCTCATGCTTGGAGCAGAGGCCATAGTGGCTGTTCTAGGTCTTGGGTGGTAAAGGCCCAACCCCTGAGAAGGCCAGGGTCCTGTGGGAGGCCCTCCCTGGAAAGATGAGTGCCAGCCTGGCTGAGGACAGGCTCTCAGAGGCATAGCCACATCCCAGGGTGGCGAGAGACCCTGGCTAAGCTGGGCTCACCCAAGTTAGGTTCATTCCTCGAGGCCAGCACCCAGGCGTGAGAAAGAAGAAATGGCCCTGGGCTGGAATAAACAACTTTTCAAATGACAGAGCTCCTTCTCAGACGAACTTGTTCCCTCTCTTTGGGTAGTCAGACCTACTACTGACCCTGCTAAAAACAAAACCAAAATCCCACAGCCTAGGGCCAAGTGTTTGTCATTTGTGTACCCTGTTCTGAGTCTGGACCACAGGGGCCAGCCCGGATCTCAGAACGTGCCACCACCAGCCTGTGACTGCAGGTTGTGAATAAAGATGCCTGCGGAGCGCTGGAGAGTCACTGATAAGGAGCCTCGGACCTCAGAGCATCAGGGCCAAGCATGACCAAAGAAGTGTACCACCCCCTTCCTGGAGGCCACACACGTTTGCATTTGAATTTTTCACACACGTGAAGATTTCAGAACAGGGTTTCATCCAGGGCCTCAGCTAGCCCATATGGCACCTTTGTGTAAAAGTAGAAGAAGGCACCCCCTTTGGGTGGGCTTTTACAGAATGATGCCCCTTCTGGTGGATTATACAGCTCAAGCTAGGTCTCAGCCCTCTGTCCCCTGGCGGGTGTCCCTGTGCTGGTACAACCTGCCCAGCTTTCAGTGGCTCTGCCCTCGCCATTTATGAAATGCTGAGAGGAGCTTTTCCCTATTTTGGAGTATGTCCTCCCTAAGTACAGGGTTGACTTGGACAATATTTTTAAATGACTCTTATTTTTATCCCATTTGATTTGGGTTCAAAGGGAACTAGGTTGTTTTGGTTGATACTTTTGAGTGTAACTCAGGGTAGGGTCATTGGTCAGAGTCCCTAGAGAACTTGCTGCAAATTCCTGGTAGGTGGGGTCAGTCAGCTGGGTGGACGGAGGCCCACCTTCCCAGGGATATAGGAGGAGTTGAAGGAAACAGAGATGGAGGGAGAGGCTGAGGGTCTGCTCTCTTGTACATAGTGCAGTGGAATTGGGTATAACCTTTTTGAAGGTCAATGCATATTAGGATTTAAAAAGCACATGCTCTTTGACCTAGAAATTCTGCTGTTAGGAATGCATCCTATAAATAAATATGTACTCACAGTGTATAAGGTTGTCCATTGTGGCGTTGTTTGTAACAAGAACAACAAAGAATGGAAACAACCAGAAGGTCCATTTATGGGAGACTAGTTAAATATATAGTACGTTCATAAAATGGAACACTATTTTGTCTTTCAAAGGAATGAGTAGAAAAAAATAGAAAGATGCCCAAGATATGTTGTTAAGTGGGAAAAAAAAGCAAATTGCATAATATTATGTATAATCCTCTTTAGATAAAACTTGCTGAAAATTAGTAATCAGTTTGTCCATCCTAGGTTGAATTTCTTTAAATTTATGGAATCTAGAAGAATGAGTTTGTGTTGAAAGAAAACCAGCGAATGAACCAACCAACCCTCGGCACCCTCTACCACCCAGCCCTATGGAGTTCATCCTCTTCTCTGTCTTCCCTGCCAGCCTCCTGGTGTGGGCTCTCCCGAGCTCCCCTTGACAAGCTCCAGGAATCTAGTCATGTCTGTGATCCTTGGGGCCTCCCTTGGGCTCCAGCATCAGCACCCATCTCAGGGGAGAGGGAGAGAAGTTCCCCTGATTTGTGAGAGATGGGGCACTGGTCTAGAGCAGAATTATCTCAAGGCATGAGTTTCCTTCCATGTCAGACCCTACCAAGGAGAAAGAGGAGATGCCACAAGCAATTTATCATGCCAATGCCCAGCTTGTCTCTCCCGTCTTCCTTTGTGTCCCTGCCTGAATCCAGCTGGTGGCAGGCAACTTTCAGCAACAAAGACCAGTGTGTAATATGGGTTAGAGTTGTCCTTGACCCCATGTCTGCAGAGCTGAGAGCTCTATCAGGAAACCAGGTCAGGGCAAGGGGAGGGAGTGTAGTTCAGGAATCCTGAGGGAGCTTGGAGAGGGTCTGAGGACAGGGCTGCAGAACCATCCACTTCTGGTTCAGCTCCTCAAAGCACAGAGCTCATCTGGGCTGAGTAGCCATCATGGGGTGGGGAGTAGGGAGCCGGATCATGGCTGCTGCTAAGTCATTTGTTCCTGGGCTAAATTATACACTGATGGAGTACTCCCCAGTCCTGCTGTCCTCGTCCCATCTCCCTCTCTGTGAATGTGCCATCTCGCCTTTACTGCTTGCTGAAAATAAAAATGTGTCTGTGTGGGGGTGGGATGGGGCCGAGAGCTGGGGAGAGCTCTTTGGAATTTGAAAGCATTCTCAATGTCCCTGGACCTATGTGTTTCTCACGCCGAACATCACCCCTCCGATCAGCCTTGAATAAACATCTCGCAACCTCCTACTTGCCTGGGCGTCTGAAGGACAACACATACAACATTATTTCTCTCCGCTGACTGACAATGCAGTTCAGTGTTCTCTACAGCTTGCACTGGGCTGCAGAGGCAAATGCAGGTGTTTCATGGCGCAGCCATCACAATTCATGCAACATGAAGACTTGGGCAGGGGCCTGGTGCCAGAGAGGGGCCTCCCCTGGACCGTTTACCCAAGAATGGGGTTCTGTCCTTGCGAAGGGGGAGCCGAGCTGGCAGGAGAGGAAGGTGGATAGTAGATATCCACCAGAAGGCCCTGAAGCAGGGCAGATGTTGGGCAAAAGTCAGCTGATTAAAAAAGAGGCCTTTAACTTCACTATTTCTTTTTTTTTTTGAATGAAGAAAAGAAAAAGGCTGGGAACAAACTTTTACTTGTGTCCCTCTGGATTAAATGCTCAGATCGTCTGCTTAGATCAATTTAACATCTTCCAACCCCAGACCTTTTGGTCCCCGTGGTCTAGGGCAGATTTCATCTTTATTTTAGAGGTTGGAAAACTGTGGCACCAAATTAGGAAGTTAATTTCCCAGAGGACATCAGTGGTGAAGCCAAGGAAAGAACCCTATGGGGAAGCCTGTTGGAACCGGTGCCATGTTGCTCCAGGACGCAGCACACACATTCATCCTGATGTTCTCACATCAACGGCGCTGTCACAACAGACGTTCATCCTGCTCCTGAAATGTACCTGAGGCTTGCAAATCCCTTCTGCTTGGGGACACTTGGGGAGCAGCATGGCTCTTTGCCACTCTTGCCAAATTCCAAGGGTGATGGGAGGGAAGGCAGCCAGGAATAGGGTTCTGGTTCTTTCTCTTCTTTTTTTGGCAGCCACTCAACGACTGGGAATGAATGACCAGGATAGTCACTGCCCCTCCACACATGTTGGGGGGACATGAACAGTGGGGCAGGAACTCTGAGGAGACGGTAGCCTAGGGTGCCCCCGAGCAGCGGGTGCCATAGCCAGTTAACAAGCAAGTCACAGGGACCCTCAGAGGTGTGCCCCCCCGGGGGGACCATCCAGGCAGAGAGGCCTGAGTCCCACCCGCCTGGGCAGGGGCGGAGAGGCTGGCTTCGCCCACCTAGGGTGCTGTTCCTGCTGCACTGAACTGCCAGCACTCTACAGATGGGAGCAGGCTGCGGCCAACTTCCCCAGCTTTTGAAAATCCTGCATCTTAATTAGTTCCCTACTGCTTTCGTACATGGCCCACATTTTAATAGTCTCCAGGCTTCTTCCACCATTTGCTCTCTGATGTTCGCTGCGATTTCTCTTCTCCTCAAGACAGTCCCCCCTGACTCCTCCAGCACCCTCCCAGTCCGGGAACAACTTAGGGAAGGCCGATGTGCCAAGCATGTAGCCGGAGATTGATGAGCCTGTCAGCTGGCTCCCTCTGCCCCCCGCCCTCCCCCTCCCATGGGCTCCT